ATCTGAACTCTTGGTTCAATTCAATTGATTTATGTCTATCCTTGTGCTACTACCACACTGTATGGTTTACTGGAATCTTATAGCAAGTTTTGAAAGTGAGAAGTATGGGTTCTCAAATTTTGTTTTGCTTGGTTATTCTATGTCCTTTGAAATTCCATATGAATTTTTAGGAACCTTCTGTCAATTTCTGCAAAGAAGTCTTTTGATAGAGATTACATTTGCTATGGACTGAATTATGCCAATCCCAAGACTCAAATGCTGAAGTCCTAACCTCCAATGTGATTATGTTTGGAGATGTAGACTTTGTGATAATTGGGTTCAAATGAGGGTTTGTACCCTTACAACCAGAGAGCTGTCTATCTGTCTTCTTCTCTCTTTGCCAGGCAAAGACAGCAAGATGGTGGCCATCTGCAAGTCAGGAAGAGTATTCACCAGAACCCAACCATAATKTCACCCTAATCTTGGACTTCCCAGTTTATAGAAATGTGAGAAGATGGGCTGGGGTGGAGAAAGAAAATGAATTTCTGTTGTTTAAGCCATGCTGTTGTCTATAGTATTTTGTTTTGAGCTGTGACAGCATTAAGTCTATAGATCCCCTTGAAGAGAATAGCTATCTTAACAATATTAAATCTTCTGATTCATGAACATGGGATGACTTTCCACTTGTTTAGGATTTCTTTAATTTTTTATAGTTGTTATAGTGTAAGTTTTGCACCTATTTTGTTAAATTTGTTTCTGTGTTTTTATTTTTTAAAAATCTTTCCATGTTTATTTCTTAAATTAATTAATTACTTAATTATTTTTAGCAGTCATATTAATTCAGAATTTTATTTTCAGGAATTTGAATATCTTGCATCACTTATACCTTAAAATACCATGGTATTGTAAATCAAATTTTTTTTCTCAATTTTATTTTCAGATTGTTCATTGCCAGTGCATAGAAATAACAATTGATGTTGGTATGTTGCTCTTGTGTCTGGAAATCTTGATGAATTTGTCTATTAGTTCTAATAGTTCCTTAGTGTATTCCTTAGGATTTGTTATATACAAGATCATGTCATGCTTTCATTTTTTATTTGGATGCTTTTTACTTCATTTTCTTATCTAATTAACCTAGCATGAAACTTCAGTGTACTGTTAACTAGGGTGGTGAGATCAGACATCCTTGTCCTGTTCTTGATCTTAAAGGGAAACACATTCAGTCTTTCACCATTAAGAATAATATTTATCTGTGTCTTTGCCTTTGTTCTAGAAAGATAGTTTTGCTGAATACATAATCCTACTTTGAYAGTTTTTTTCAGAATATTAAATATATTATTCCACCATTTTTTGTTTCCTTGTTGCTATTAAAAGTTAGCTGTCAGCTTATTTACCATTCMTATGCAGATGATCTGTCTTTTATCTCTGGCTACCTTTAAGATTATCTCTTTGTTTTTGATGATCTGAGGTTTCTCTCTGATGTGTAGGTGTGTTTCTTTATATTTTCCTGAAAGTTTTTATCATATAGTTCTAATATAATGGTAGAAAATTTCAATAAACCAAGTCTTCAAGGTTCTGGTTCTCTCATTGTTTCTCCTGGTTCACTCTCCATTATGATTTGTATGTTTTTAACTGAGTTACTCATTTTCCTAATAACATTATCTAGGGGAACATTTTAGGAGCCTGGAGTAAAGTTGAGTCTCTTCCAAAAGTATTATTATTTGCTTCTGCCATTTGCCAACCATGTGACTTTCTTTTCAATTCTCTACTTTATTTAAAAAAAATGTCCACCAAATGCACAGCATAAAGATCATCCCTGAATAATGTAGTGGAGAAAGAGTTTTGTACAAGTTTTAGCCCCTTCTATCCTGTGCCAAAATTGGGTCAGGCAAGTTTCTTTTCTGTCTTCTTCTCCAGAGCCAATTTATTTCTCACCCAGCAGACACTAAGAGTAAGATTTCTGTGGGGAAATCTCAGATTTACACTGAGGTCTCCTATTATATTCCCATTTGTCTAGGCTCTAGGATTCTCTTTATCTCCATGATGCATTTAGACATGAAGGTCAAAGCTCAAGGTCTCCAGGTTTCATCAAAACCCATCAGCATGAAACCTTGAACTGGTAGTCACACCAGGATTCCTCCTCTTTTTCTTTTATTTTTAACCTCTGCAGATTCCTTTCTTTCATGCCTGCACAGTATCACATGTTAAAAGAGTAGTAAAAGAAATACATATAATTTTAGAATTTCTAAATGAGGAGGCTGTTTAAGGTAACTCATCTCCTTACTGGTTACTGTTGGAAATTAAATTTCTGTCATTTGTTTTTCCTCTAAACAAGCTGACATGGAAAATATTCAGAAAAAATGATGTTCATCCTCCACCCATAAAATCTCCATGGAAAGAGATTCTACAACTTCCTTGTGGTAAATTCTCACAATGGCCAAATTATTCCCTTCTCTGCATTCACATTCTTGAAATCTGATGCTGCAGATCCTCCCACAAAAGGCAAAGTCTCTTTCTCCATGATCTTGAATCTGGGTTGGCCATTTGACTTGTTTGGCCAAAGGCAGGACATTAACAGTGTGACACAGGCTAAGGCTTGAAAGGTCTGACCTACTAAGCCCACTCTCTTGTTGCACTTTAGAGCTCTGAGATCACTGTAAGAATGAGTCCAAGCCAGCCTCCTCAAGGATGAGAAGCCACRTGGAAGCACAAGTCCACTGTGCTTCAGTAACAGGTAAGTAATAGCACTCTCTTAGATTATAATTGGAGAGTCACATCCCATACCTCCTTGTAACAATCTTACTTTGTCCTGCCTTAACTTCTGAGGATGTAAAAGTAGTCCTTTGCCAAGATACTACTAAAGTTCAATTTGGACTAAAGGAGTTTACCAATTATTGGCATAAAATTTAAATCACACCAATGGAAATATATYCCATTCAAGCTTCTATAAATAAATTAGGGAATATAAATGTGTAATTTATTTTCTCAGTGCAGTGGCCAATTAGATCATGACTAAAGAAGTCCAGGATTTTTCTCCATGACGAGGGAAGTCAATCTCAGATCTATGAGATTTTGATTTCCAACAGTAACCAGTAAGGAGATGGGTTACCTTAAATAGCCTCCTCATTTAGAAATTTTAAAAATTATAAGTATTTCTTTTACTACTAATATGAAACAGTTACTGATATGAAAAGATACTGGGGCTTTCATGATAAATTCAACATAAGTCAATTGTGTGAAGTGGCTCCTCAGGAAGTCAATTCATATCAGTCACATTAACAGAAATGTARTCTCATGTGACCATTTCAGATGAGGCCTGATTCGAGGACCTGCAATATATATAGTTCAACACAGGAAGAGCTGGCTACAAATATCTGAAAGGGCAGTCACTGGGAAAATGAAACACAAAGTGTTCTTCAAATTTTAYGAGGACAAACCTAGGATCAGCAGGTATGAGTTACAGGTTTCAGCCAAACATTTTCTTTTCTTTTTTTAAAAAATCAAACAATTAATTAATTGTATGTGACAGCAGAATGCATTGCAATTCTTATTACACATATAGAGCACAATTTTTCATGTCTCTGGTTATATACAAAGTATATTCACACCAATTTGTGACTATACA